TCTATTTCGCCCCCGAACAGGCATATCCCTAGCTATCATTCCCTTATCCAAGTTTTGCTCATTTTCACTGGGAGCGTTTGTGCTAGCGGCTTCCACCATCCGTATTCTGCCGCATGCCCTTTCTCCATCAGCGAGGGCGCGACCTACCACCACCGCTCTCCTTGGACCGGATCGGCACACCGGATTCTTGCCAGCTCTACGACAGTGGGAAAAGCGCGACTTTACCACCATATTCACGCTCTGACTTACCAACTCCTCACCACTGTCGGAGCTTCCGGTGGGCTCCTCACACCAGAGCGCCTGGCGGGAGACTTTACGGCTTGCTTTGGCGCTTTTCCAACATGTCGCCGCTAGGTCCCCTTACTTCTTACATATTAGGTTGTAAGGAAAGTTCTGGCCGTTTCGCCAGCTATTTTTCAAAAAGTTATAACTCATCTCAAAGTGAACATTTTTATTCATAGTAAGCCCCATTCGATTCTACACATGTTTGCCAACGTGATACAGGTCTGTCTATTCCATTCTTATAAAAGTCCGGGGATCTGGATTCCAAAAACTCGAGAAAGGCAGCTTCCGCGTCGCCTTGATTTTTAAATACTCGTTCCTTTGAGAAGCTGCCCAAATATTTAAGTAAATGGTAGTCAGTTGGTGACAGGTCCGATGAGTATGGTGGATGAGGGATAGCTTCGATTCGCAGCTCGAATTCAACTTCTGGAAAACAATTCATGACACATGCGGTTGCGCATTGTCGTGTAAGAGCAGTAGACCGTGGCGACTGACTAGTGCTGGCTGCATTTGCCCCTGTTTCATGTACTTCTTGTGAATTTCATTACAATATAACTGTGCGGTGATAGTTTGACCTTGAGGAAGAAACGCGTAGTGGATTATTCCATGGTTGGACCACCAAACTGTGATCATTGTCTTCGTGACGTGTGAACTTGGTTTGCGAATTTTTTTTGGAGGCTTATCCACACCCACCCACTCAGCAGAACGCTTCCTGTTATCATACAGGATCCATTTCCCATCACAGTTACAATACGATGGAGAAAAGTCAAAACATCATTTCTTCTCAACAGCGAACTTGAAACCTCTAAGCGATTCAGTTGTTCCTGCTCCGTGGAATCGTGTGGCACCCACTTGTCAAGCTTCTTCACCATTTCAAGCAGCTTGAGGTGAGCAGCGACGACTGTGTGGGAGACACCCACCTTCTTCTCAATCTCTCTCAAAGGTTGACGTCGATCTTTTTCGACTGCTCTTAGCAAAACATAGTGATCAACTAACGATGGTCGACCAACTCGTTCTTCGTCTTTCAGTGACCCGTCTCCACTTCTAAACTTCTGAAACCAGCGACGAACCGTACGCTCCGATGCACTGCCTTATCCCCATACAACATTGATGTTTGTGGCTGCATCCTCCGCAGTTCGACCAAGTTTGGACTCGTGCAGTAAAAGCGTTCAAAAAGCAGTCTTATCTATTCTGCCAAAAAAACCTCCTAAGGACTCCAAAACCTTAAAGACTTTGGGGAAAGCGCAATGACAGAAAGAGCAACTAATGACTTATCTAGGGAACACAATGTGTCGATTAGTTTGAATGGACAACCCCCAAAATTTGAATCCATATGGCGCATGCGGGGGAACGGCCAGAACTTTCCTTACAACCTACTTTACAGTATGCAGTTTGCTTTCTAAAACACTAGTAACCGGCATGGCCTGACGCCCCGCAAACCTACACTCAAACTCCTTCCGAGCTGGGCCCTTGCTCGGCTTCCGCTTTCACTCATTCGTTTGCGCGCGCCAAGTCGATTGCTGGTTACGCATTCTCACCTGGACTACTCCTGCGTTTCCTTCGAATGTGGGGCATTTTCTCCAACTCGCTCGAACGCCTCCGCTTGTTCCAACGCCGCCTTCGATGTCAGTTCCTCTTTTTCCAGCAAACGCTTTCTTTTCTCTACAGAGAGCAGTCCTCCAATGAAGACCATTGTGATTACTGCATCTCTGTGGTTCTTGATTTCTTCAAAACTACAACTATTTGCTGCCTTCTGCAGCTCCGCATAATACTCATGCAGAGCTTGTCCTGGCTTCTGGACCTTCGACATAAGGCCGAAACGCTCTGCCAATATCAGCTTCTTCGGCTGATAATGGCGTTCCATGGCCTGTCTCAGGTCCTTAAGTTCCACATCCTCTAGCTCACGGCCCTGCAGGAGTGACTCCAGCAACTCATAATTTGAGTTGCTCACCTCCTGCAGGAAAATGAGCCGCTGATCCTTCTCTTCGGTCACCTTCCTCAATACAGGAAGTTGTTGAAGAGCTTCCACCAGGTCCTCCATGACGTTCCCGGGACATAAGGTCCCGGGGATCGATCCCGGTATATTTCCACACCAGGGTCGACAGCCATGGGCTTCCCGGTGTTACCTGCTTCTCCTTCGGTCTTCATCGCGTTGCGATCTTCTTCGGACTTTGCGACTTCTTCGGCTTCTTCGGTTTCCTCGACTGCTTCTTCGGTTCGCCCTGATCGCCAGTGACGAAGTCGGGCAAACACAAGAGGATGGAATGCTTTATTCGAGAGGGTAGCCCTCTTTTATACATACACTCTCTCTCTATCAGGCCTATCCTCTGATCCCTCTTCATTCTCTTCTCTCAGACATTCATTCACACCCTCACAGTACTAATCCAGATCACAATCTTTCTTTTACTCACAATGTATATAAGAAATAACTCTGTCAGCGAAGTTTCCTGAGCTGAGGCTTTCATTTTCGAGCGCATGCGTTTTTCATATTCCATACGTGCAACTCCTCATCTTGACTGAACCAACGAAGATCAATGGAAGCTGACATTATCGGCGAGGTAAAGAATAAGGGGTCCAATTGTGACAGCTTAATTTCAGTTCTCCAAAACCCAGCTTCGAAAAGAAATTACGCTCTGCTCACGAAGTTTCCCGTAGTGATAAAACCATTCCTTACACTTTTCATCGACAACAAAACAGCCACCGCATTTATTTGTGGGTTCATGCAACCTATTGTACTCCTTCGGTAGTGGATATCGCCGACCTAAATCACCAAAGACTCTCCTACTTTTAGAAACCCTATCTCACTTACCTAGAATTGTTCTGTCTGCAACAAGTTATCATCACTGAAGGTCACATTTTGCAGTCCATGAACATCGCTATCTCCGTATATATTGCCGTATCGCGTTTTATATGTCAGCTCATTCCTTGCTGCATTACAGTGCACCAAATACGCCATAACAGCACTGGAACACATTTCTTCTATATGTGTTCACGTTTTGTGAGTCATACGCAAGAACTGCACTGATTTCTCACCTCATCACAAAGCAGTAATCTAGTCGCTGTAAAGAATTTGTTGCTTCGAACCTCCCCACTATAGTCCTTATTCCGTCCTCTATTTGCCGACAGTTTACTATTGTCCTCACCACACAATAACGTTCTACTTCCTAGATACGACAGCGTTCTTGCAAAGATTATCTTTGGTTTGTGCGGATGAATGTACCTGCGCCCTGTTTTCAGCGATATCTCTGAATGTGATGATCTCTTTTTTCTCATCGTTAGCTCGTTTTACTTCATATTCAGCACGTCTGATCGCGTACTCAACAACATCGTGTCTGCTTCTTCCAGCTCCTTGAAAGCATTATTTCAACAAGCAACAGACTTCTATTTGTAAATTTTAGTGGGCTAATGACGAACCTACACCAATACTCAGCTGCAGGAACTTGTAAAATGAGAGCACTGCTTCTGCAAATGACGATCTCACACCCACAGGAACGCCTGCATCTTGTAATTGAGCAAAATAATCCTTTACGACTTCGCAGGAAGATAGATTGCGTCATTGCCGGGCATGGTCTCCCCTAATCTGTACAGAAAAACCTATATTGCTCCCCAGAGAAGTACATTAAGAATTTCCTAGCTTCTCTCAGAACGCATTGCAGCTAGCATAAACCTTCGAATATTACTCGCATAAGGTTTACACGAGCCCCTGACTTCTTGATGAATTTGCACATCGTCGTCTTTTCGCACAGCCACGGACTGTGAAGTAATAGTTGTTTTTGGAGTTCCTAGATTTAGCTAGAAATTGGCGAGAGGTAGCTAACCAAGAACTTCTACGGTTTTAAATGCAGTAAAAAAAGAATTAGATGCAGATGGACCGAACGTGAGAGAGAACAAGTATTAGAAGGGCGGCGGACGTGGTGGGGTCTGTACAATCAGGAAGCGCCCGTGAAGGAAGTTAAATGCAGTAGTGGCCTGAGTTTCATGAACAGACAGTCTTCTGAGAATTTCTCTCCGCAGAATCGCTGAATTGTCCCAAGACTTGGTACAGGTTTGTCGTTTAGAATTCAGAAATTGTTCTTACGAATAGATTCATAGAGCTTTTTCTTTAGGTATTAACCCATTGACGACCGCGTGACCCGCCAACGGGCCACTCATATCGTGCTCCTGTAGTATTTATATTATTTGTCAAATGTTCTTGTAATTGTGTCCGTGTTTTCAAGTATCAGCTGAGCTCACAACCTTCTAGAGAAACTTGAGGCATCGTGGTCCAGGAATTATTCCCTTCTAACTACGGTTATAAGAGAAATTAAAAGTTAATGTAAGGACAATGTAAAAGGCGCGGTGTAAATCGTTTCGGGGAATTATTATCACGAGCTCTGCATTTGGAAATGCTAATGACGACCGTCTTTTCAAAATATCTCACTTTTTGAAGTTGTTCAGCGAACGAAAAATTCACCGAGGTGATGTACTACTTCGAAAAAAAACACCTTTACAATCGCAAAATATGAAGATTTTCTAGGACCACGCTGTATGTGGCTTCATTTAGGCCTGATGTAATATTTTGAGAAGAAGAATTGTAAGAAAGTGGAAATTTAGATGAATAAAGCAAAAAATACAACTGCAGTCCACATGTGTACTGCATGGTCGTCAATGGGTTAATACTCGTGAGAAACTAAAAACTGTTCCCTTTTCCTTTTCAGGCCTTTGGTTAACAGCAGAAAGGTCTGCGTCTTTAGCCGACAAGCAGAGATTTTTCAACTTTACTGCAGTGTATTGTATTTAGCATACGGCGAAGACGTTTGGAGTACAGATCTGTCAGCTGATGTTCGCAATGACATTCTACGAGGAAACGAATAAGGAATGAAGCGGAAGTGGCAAGACTTTTCACGTTGGTATGTCAACTATTTGCCCCTTTCTGAAATCCCAATCAAAACAATCTCAGGCTCACTTCCACCGACATCCAAAGGGAATGGGCCGTTGGTAGTGAAGACAGATCTCTTAGACAAGAAATATTCAAAGACATCTACAAGGTGCCGGATATTTTAAAGGGAATCATTTATTACAGAGAACAATCGTAAAGCTCGTGTCAGGTGGGAGTAGGAGCATATCGGTTGGAATGGTCAGCAGTATGGTGGAGAGAACGTGCCGATTTAGGGGGGGGGGGGGGCTGCAGTGGTCACGGGATCGAACCTCTTCACCAAATTCATGGAGTTTTGGATAAGTATAGATAGGAAGACATCTCAGTAACAAGTATGCGTCCACTTACACACCAGCAGAGGAATCATTTCACAGCAAGATATGGACCGCGTGTACGCATACGGCCACATGGGCGTCCGGTTCAGTTTTGTTTAAATTGATCATATGGTTTTTGCTTAGTCTAAGGAAAAATAAATTTTGAAAAATCGACAATTTCTTCGGCCCTGGTTAAAGTTCATTACCGATTTTTTATAGAGAATCAGAGAGCACAAAGGGAGTAAACTGCAACTTAGTGAATGATCAAGTAAATTTGCAAAGGGAAATCCCAAAAACTTGTTTGTTCATGAAGTTCTGGCTCCTAATGTACATATATTAGAAGTAGACTATTCCGACAAATTTCAACTAATGTAAAAGTTTTTTGTTTTGCTGAGTACATGAATCCTCCAAGTTTCCGAATCAACGAAGAAAGTTTTTCTCAAACATCTAATTTCGTCGTGTTGAGCTTTGAGGTAGGAACCTATCATTAAAACCTAGCGCCTAGCGCGTGCATCATAAACACATATAGAGTCGTTCATCAGTCATGTTATTCACGGAAACTACGGAAAAATTTTCATGCACTGTATACACATACTTCTTCAATACTTCTGAATCGAATCCAGTTCAATCCCCGAAAAAATCCATCTAATGCGAAAACTTAGAAGCACTTCTAGTGCGTAGCTATCATTTAAACTGTATCAAATACGCATTGGAGATGTAAAAGAAAATATTCAGCAGGGTGTTTCATGATACCTGGTGTCCACTGATGCCGAATTTTTCTCATCTAGCTCTTCTCAGTTTTTAAGGTCCAGTTAAACATTGAATGGAATGATAGAGAACAATAATTCACTATGTGCATTCGCGTAGTAATTTGAGATATCGTCGCCTGATCTGACAGAGATGTGAACAGTTGGGGACGAACCAATCAGAACAAAGGTTTCTTAATGAAGCCTAGTGTCAATTGCATCCTTAGTCTTTGAATTGCACTTATCATCCTCTCAACGTTGTTTTTCTGAGAAATTCCGAGTAGCTTTGCAATAATGGATGTTGTTCAGTCCTCAGTTCTCACCACAGTTTCAGCTGCTGGTCTACCTAATTCATCCATCCTTAATAAGTGATGCTAGTGATGGTTCGCTCAAAACGTATCAGAACCTTTGTAAGAGTAAGTTCATAAAAGTGATATTGTTCGACTATTCATATAATACTCACCGAACCTGCCGATGCTCCGTTGTAAAACTGGGTACTTTTGAACAAAATATTTTTGCACTCCTTCCTCTTCATTTCTGTTCAAGGTATCATATTCATGGGCGAACAACAGTTTTTTGTCTGGTGCATCCGTGAACACGTAGTGTACAGTCAAACAACCTCAATTTCTTGCTAGTTTAGGTCATCACTATCTAATTCTTGCCCATTAGCACTTGAAGAGCTCACCTCGACATTGGGGACCGCCTCTTACGTTGGCAGTGATGCACAAATTAGCTCTTTGTATAAACGGCGCTCGCTGTGTCGGTGGTACCGATCTCTTGTGAAGTTGTTCATCCTGAAAAACATGATGGAAACTCTGTTATCTGCTAACAACACACTATGAAAGCTAACCTTGTTACCTACCTTTATTACTTGTTCTGACCCTTCTTCAACTACATGGGATGGTCCTCCTTCTTCAGGGCATATATTCACTTCCTCCAGCTGCGGTGATCTTTAAATTCTTGCTGCTGAAATAGATCAGTTCCACATCCTAATAAGTGAGCATTCACAGTTGAACAGTGTCTAACATACGTCATTAAGTAGCGGAATACCGCAATCCCTCCATTTGTTCTCGATTTGTCAACAATCTAGAATTTTTTCACCACACAGTAGCGTTATGCTTCCTTAATACGACAAAGTTATCAAGGAATCATCTTTGAAGGTACATATATTCTGACAAATGGTCCTGCGCCTTGTTTTCTGCGATACTTTTTAACTGTATTAAACTTTTTCTCACTGTCAACTCGTTTAACCTCATACTTAGCGCAACTGATCGCGTACTCAACAGCAAGATGTCTGCTTTTTGCGGCTATATGAAGAGGCCTTGTCGTCAAGCGATAGATGTCCTGTGTTGGAAATGTTCTGCACCGTTTATATAATAGAAAGCCTTTGCCAGTAACGATCTCACACCCACAGGTAAGCCTGGATGTTGAAGCTTGATGGAGAATTCCTTCACGATCCCGCAGAAAAAGATTGCGCTATTAATGGACGAATGCTAGGGGGCACCGTTCTCTTTATACCCTACCCCAACAAGTTTTAGCTAACTGCTGTTTATTCACAGCGGTACGCGAATTCGAATTATCTTCCAGTTCATTATGTATTTTTGAAGTCGCTATCCAACCACTGGTTTTATTATATTTGTATGCAATTCACTTTCCTCGTTTCAAGAATTTATATTCCCAAGAACGCACATATTATCCATTTCGCGCAGAGTGACGGTTAAATTTGTTCCGATTTCATGTTTTATCAACTGCTGTTATATCGCAGTAGTACGCGATGAGGAGTCCCACAAGTTGGCGACTTGTAGGCAAAACTTCGGCCTCCTGCGGGACTAGAACCCGTTCTTGCGCTTTCCAGGCACAATTGCGGGCTCGAGTTTCGTCCGAGGTCGAAGTTTTGCCCATTAATCGCCATCCTTGAATGACAGTAAAATGTTTCCAACCGCACGGATACCATCTGAGCCTCCTCCTTTATCTTACTATGGTGCAGCGTTAACATCAACAGTCTTTTATATACGACATCACAAGGCCGCATTCATTTCAGGTGACCACTTGCCTCTCATTCGTAGAAACTATTCGGGCAGTGAACTATTCTTTTCTCAAAATGATATATGTATGTAAGTCATATCATTTTGGATTGCTTACAATATAAAAGAACATGGGACTTTCTAAAAACCCAAGAAAACTTCTATGTATTCAACCGCACCCAATGTAATATAGTGGAAACCATCACATCGAAACTCGAAACTATTAGGGTGTCCATAAAGTTCGTTGGCCATTCAATTTTTCAGAGCTTGTAAAGATAACTCACAAAGTTGAACTTACTGGTCCATGTTATATTCTCCACGCATACCCACCATTCGCCAACAATCGGGTAGAGAGGCAATTCCATCCTCCCAAAAGCCGGCTGGCCGCGACTCGGCCCAGTCCTCGATCACGTCCTCGAGGTCGCGCTCGTTCTTCAGCTGTTTCCCGTCAAAGGAATTTTGCATGGACCGGAATTGCATGGACTGACGTCCGGGCTATACGGTGGATGCACGACTGTTTTGATGCCCAGCCTGTCCAGGACGGCCTGAGTATCTCTTGCTTTGTGGGGCGCGCGTTGCCCCAGAGCAACCACGGATTTGCAAGTTTCTGGGACAAGGCGGCAGCTTTCACCTTGATCTCCTGCAATTCTTTAGAGAGGGTTTCTGCCGTCCCTGTGGCATTGATGGATAGGATGATGGTGTGGACGACACCGTGGCGAGAGAACCAGAATGACAGAAGGCGCTTCTTCCCGTGCATATTTCTCTTCGCTTGGCTTGGCGGGGGCGCATCGAAATCCACCAAGACTGGTTTGTTGGCAGAATTAGAGAAGTAGACCCACTTCTCATCTTGGCAAATAAGGGAGTCTAGAATCTTCCTCAGGCCTCTGAGTCCTGTCGGAGCACACTTCAATCCGCTTCCTTGCCTGTGTTGGCGTGAGGTCGTGAGGGACAACTCGACGCTTCTTCGACACCTTGCCAGATCAAAAAGACTTTACGGATCGTGGAACGGGGTACCCGTGTGACCTTGCTTAAGTCGCGCAAGGACGACGTCGGTTCATCGCCCTGGGCATCCAGAATGCCTTGTCGATCGACGGTGGCTGGGCGACCGGACCTCGGCATATCTTCGATGCCAGTTTCCATTGGTCAAGCGAGTGCACCATTTTGATATCCAGTTCTTAGAATGGGTGTTATCACCAAACTGCTGACGCATCCCGGTCGTGACCTGACGTCTGGAGATGCCCAGGTTGTAGTAACCAAACATCGGTGGTGGTGGTGTCAAACATCACTCATCTTCACTGCTTTATTGTGGTAAGAGCAAGGAAGAAAATTTAGAGCTAGCTAACTCAGAAGATAGCCCCAGGCGAGTACTTTCAGTATTGCGGAATCGTTATTCAAAACCACAACGCGTTGCGTAACGCGACGCTGTTTACAAATGGCCAACGAACTTCATGGACACCCTAATAAAATAATCGAACGGTTAACCACCATTTCAACTCCCCCGTGTTCGCCTAACGAAGAGGTTGTAAAGGAGTTCAAAAATATTGGGATGAACATCCATGAGAAGCGCTCTTAGGAGCAGCAAGCAGCAACAACTCGAAACAAGATTGATGGACCACGCAACCCAGGAAATGTCCTTTCAGAGACGTCCCTAATAAGAAGTCGCTCAGCAACGGGATACGGCAGAAAATGGTTTCAAAGCCTGGTGTTCACCACGAGTTGACCCATATATCGCTAGATAGCATTATTCACAGTAGAGGTCTAACAGTGCCGCTTTAGTTGTTGCAGAGTAGACCGGTTTAGGATGAAAACAAGCGAAAATGGACAGTGGGTGGAGGGGGCGTGCGAAGAGGGAAGATGGAGAAGATACAAAATGATCTAGAGGATGGATCAAGGATTGTATAAAAGAGTGAGAGGGAGCAATAAACATTCACTCGTCAGCGTGTTCTCTCGCCAATCAACTGGCAATCAGGACTCAAAAAAGAAGACGCGGAAGAAGAACACCAACGCCAGACGAGGAACGAAGAAGACAGAGGAACAGCACATCAGTTAGCTAAGGATCACAAGCACAAGGCCAGAGGCAGTCCACCCACCAAAAGAAAAGGAGATGGACGAAAAGGGCGGTATAGTTGGAGCACCCACCAGGGCTATTGGAGTCTCCCCGGCAGGTCAGGACCCTGTTACGGCCCTCGATGTATATAGAGGTCGAAGTCCAGGGCCCTGTGCCGGGGACTTCCTGCAATACCTGGTGGAGGCTATTTGAAAACTTTCTGGCCTTACAGAGAGTAACCGATGAGGGTTCTAACGCCTCTTTTTTCTCCAAGAGGTTGGCGCTTCAAATTATGAGCTCTTAGAATCTTTGTTACAGGGCAAAGAGCCAGAAACGGCCACAATGGTGGAACTGGAGCAAGCTGCGGAACAGCAGTTTCAGCCGAAGAAGCTATTGATGGCGGAACGCTTCGGATTCATGTCCAAGTCGCAGAAGGCTGGTCAAACGCTGCAGGAATACAACGCAGAATTGCAGAAGGCCGCTAGTATATGTGGGTTCGAGAAGGTCAAAGATATGTGGGATGCGATGGTGGCAATGGTATTCATAGATGGGTTGGCATCTGTAGTAACTAGGAAGCGGTTGCTCGAGAGGAAGGAGTTAACATCGAAAGAGGTGTTGGAGATGGCAGAAGCCGTGGAAAGAGTTGCTAAAAACGCACCTCATTTAGAGCAAGGAGTCACCGAACTAGGAGTGGCAGCTATTGCACCTAGAGAACCGAGACTCCCTTCTCGAGCGAGGGTGGAAAGACGGGAGAGCAGTTCAATTCGGAAGGCAGGTCCTACTAATACAGGGGCCAGAGGCCGAAGTAGAACTGTAGAGAAACGAACCCGTGTTCCACCCAGTGGACCGCAGCAGTGTTGGGTATGCGATGGTCGTGGACACATAGCTAAACAATGTTTTTTCAAGGGTAAAGCGTTCTGTAACTTGTGTTCACGACCGGGGCATCTACCCAAAGTTTGTCGGATGAGGCAATGCCCGGCCAAGACATCCCGCCAGATACACTGGTGTGCGGAGCGTAGTGATCCCGAAGAAGAACAAGAAATAACGGTAACTAGCGTACGAATAGCGAGATGCCGGAATCATATATAAATACCTCGCTAAAAGACGGGAGATCCTCAAAGAGGAAGAAAGAGTTTGAGGAATCTCCGATAAGTTATAGAGTTGGATCAAGAGTGCGAATGGCCATAGAACCGGCCATAATGATTCCCATAATGGTGAATGGGAGCAGAGTTGATTTTGAGCTCGACGGCAAGCCAGGAATGAAACCGACCAAAGTGGAGGCCACAGCTTACAATAATAGCCCTATCACTTTTGATGGGCGATGTTTAGAGAATTTGCAGTTCGAGGGACGAGCTGTAATGATGGAAGTCTATGTGTTACATACGGCCAACCACCCACTGTGTGGCCTAGACATGATTAGGAAGCTCCAGATAGATTGAGGACCCCATGCGCGAAGCATGGAGGGAAAACCGTGTTATACGAAAAAACAGTTGCGTGAGAAGATTGAGAGCCTACTAGAAGAAAACCAAGTACTATTCCAGGAAGGACTAGGTAGATGTACGTCAGCAAAAGTGTCGCTGAAGCTGAAAAAGGGTATAGAAAAGCTCAAATTTGGCAGAGTACGACCGGTCTTCATTGCTTCAAGGCCTAAAGTTGAGGCTAAGTTACAGGAATTAGTAGATAATGGTACACTCACGAGAGTAGGATATTCGAAATGGGCCACACCACTAGTGGTGGTCCCCAAGCCAGGAGGAAAATAAGCCGAGTCCTGATGATTTGTTTCATATGTTAAATGGAGGAAAGAAATTTTCCAAGATGGATTTGTCTGATGCGTATATGCAATTAGAATTAGACCCAGAGTCTAAAAAAACACAACAATCAATACCCATAGAGGATGTTTGTTTATAACAGTCCCATTCGGCATTGCATCGATTCCGGCGATATTTCAAAGGATTATGGAAACTACTTTGGCTGGAATAGAAGGAGTTATTATATATCTGGACGATATTAAAGTAACAGCCCCAGATGATGTCACGCATTTGGCGCGGTTGAGAGAAGTGTTGAAACGATTGAGGGAAGCAGGGTTTAAACTGAAACGAGAGAAGTGTGAATTCTTGAAGGAAGAGATGGAATTTTGGGAGCATATTGTAGTTGCCCAAGGAGTACGACCATCACCAAAAAAACGTGCAGGCGATGTTAAATATGCCTGACAAGGGAAGGATACTTGGTCGCAGTGGCCATTCAAGATGAGATGTATACCCCCGAAGGTGGTTTCGAACGCTGATCTCAAATCTGTGTTCCAAATCTGCTAAACGATTCTGGGAACAATGTTACGGGACCGTTGCCTTCCTGTGCACGGGTACGGTGTTTGCTCGGCTCGGTGATCCACACTAAAGAACGGATCACCGAGCCGAGCAAACACCGTACCCGTGCAACGGTAGTGGACTGGTAGATATGGCATCAAGGTTCGATTCATTTATGCATGCGCTTGTTTTGCTTCTCCATAAGATGTGTCCCAAACGCTTGCGAGACGTTTTTGGTTCTCGGTTCAATATCGGGCATCTGCGGAGTTCCCTCACAATTTAGGAGCAGTGCAACGTTTTACAAGGGGGGTTTTTTTGCCCCTCACCGGCCGAATAAGGGTGGAGTTACATTCCAACAAAAGAGGAATTTTGAACATTCGCTGAAAATGGGCTCAAGGAGCTTCAAGGAGGAAGATTCCAAATGATTCATGGCGTCAAAGGCTACTCTATATGTTAACAGCAAATCTTCTGATTGAAGGTGGGGCCATCATGCTTGACGGAGGACTTTCGTCCTTGCAACATAACATGGGCACCATCTGGCAAGAGGCGATAATGAAGAGCTTTTCAACCGTACTTCTCGATGCTGAGGAAACAAGCCCGTTATCCTTTGTGAGGGAAGTCGAGCCCGTGAAAGGCGATCACAATGATCCTTTGCGGTCGCCTGATGATGACAGCGACGATGGACCCGTACTCCTATAGTTCGAGTTGGTTGGTTGGTCGCAACTATTAGGTGCGAAACAAGCGGACCGATCTGCCCACCTATGGAGAATACGGATATTTATATAGGGGTCCCTTCACACGGCAGTCATTTTCACCGGATACCGCTTCAAATCAACAATGGAAGACCATTGGAGACAACTTCAAAGCCAGCCAGTGGTGGATTCAGGGATTCGTGTACAGCATCATGGTATCATGCCTCACCGCACCACCACATTTACCATGGAGGGTCTCTTGAAGGGCGTTTACCTCAGAATAGAGTTAGCGGATAAACATATGTGCACATTAAGCGATAAATTATTGTTCTACAGTATTTCCCCAACAATGCCAGTTAACTTTTACCTCCGCTTCGAAAGCGCGGACAGTATTCGTAAAACGTGAGGACCGTATCCCTCCCAAACAAGGCTGTGGTCGAGTGACTCATTCGACTGCCACTTACCGTAAGTGGTGCGGGGAGCTGCCGAAAGACTATCTTGAGTCTTCGGGGTAAGGAGGCGTACATATATATATACGGTCAGTATTGGTAAAATTTTAACCGAATTTCTTTTCCCGGAATCCTAAATTGTGCGGGAGCTCCGTAGATGCCCAATACTGAGCCCAAAAATGTTTTGCAAGCGGTTAGGACACATTTCATGGAAAAGCAAAACGAGCGCAAGCATCAAGGAATCTAAGCTTGTTGCCATGTCTACCAGGCCACAACAATTCCCGCTTGGCCACCGGAGCACAGGTACGGTGTTTGCTTCGGCTCGGTGATCCGTTCATTAGTGTGGTTAACACAGGGAGGCAACGGTCCCGTAACATTGTTCCCAGAATCATTTAGCAGATTTGGAACACAGATTTGAGATGAGCGTTCGAAACCACCTATGGGGATATGCAACTCATCTTGAATGGCCACTGCGACCAAGTATCCTTCCCTTGTGAGCCAAAGAATTTGAAGGAAGTTGAATCATTTTCGGAAATGGTGCCTCGGAATATGGTATGGGGGCAGTATTTTATCAAAAGATGCCGAATAGGAAAGAGAAAGTGATAGCGTACGCGTCACGAACGCTGACAAAAGAAGAGAGAAATTACTCGCAAATTGAAAAAGAGGTTCTGGGCATAGTGTATGGAGTAAGAAAGTTCAAACAATTTTTGTACGGTCGTAAGTTCACCCTGCTAACAGACAACCAACCTTTGGTGAAGATACTTGGACCAAAAAGTGGAGTATTCACGATTGCAGCAAAACGGCTACACCGTTGAAGCCTTCGCCTCATGATATTCGTTCGATATAGAATACAAGAAGACCTCGGAATTCGGGAATGCCGATGGGCTATCCAGTTTGCCAGATCCTAGGGAATTACCGAGCTCACAGATGGTGGTAAATGAAGTGATGGAGAAACAGTTGACGGCGGAAACATGGAAGGATATGGTATTAAACGAGCAACAAGTGGCAAAGGCAACACATGAGGACGAGATACTGAAGAGGGTGTTCAGGTATGTAATGGGAGGATGGCCCCGAGGGTAAAAGAAAAGGAGCCACAATCGTACGAGAAGACTAAGGAGGAAATAAATGAATATCAGAGGTGTCTTATGTGGCACAAGCTTGTGTTATTTGCGCAGCCTTCGGGATTGAGATGAGAAGAACACCGCTGCATCCCTGGGAAACGCCAGAAGTCTGGCAAAGATTACATATGGATTTTGCCGAGACCGCTGACGGCAGGAGATGGTTGGTGATAGTGGATGCAAAGTCAAAATGGCCTGAAGTGGTGCAAATGGAGTCAACCACGGTAGAAAAAACGATAGAAAAG